CTTAGTTCACTAACCAGTTATTTTAATTTTGGTATCTTTTCTAAATTCTCTTATATTCGCCTCGCACTTCCTCGGTAGGATACAAATTAAGTAGGTGAACGAGAATATTTAAACCGGTGAAAGGAGGAGGTTAGACAGAGCGTGATTTCGCTAGTGTAGCAAACGTTTCCTATTTTGTCCTCTAGCTGCTAATCTTAGTAGCGGTTATATATTCTGGCCGTCTAGTTAGTATATCGCGATACGGTTGCTGAGTCAGCCAGTTAGATTAAATTAAATTGTGTAGTCTAGCACTATCTCTTATCATATGAATTTTATTGTTAAATTACCTTTAAGTTCTCTTCGCGAGTAGTCGGTGCTATTGTAATCACGAAGTCTATGCATTTCTGTTAAAGAGTTAATAAAAAGGGTATTTTACATCCTTTCAATGTCATCTTCACGCATGTTGAGAAGTCGCCAGGTTGGACATTGAAATCTAATCACATTCCATGATAGCTAAACAGGTTAGATCTTACAGTGAGATGCAGAGTGTATAGAAATTGTTACTCCAAGCGTCCACCTCTGATGAAAACAGCATCTGTGATATGGCTGGGCATAGAGTCTAATAAAAGGCAGTTACTGATACTGCAGTCCGTCTAACTTCAGTTCTATGCCACAGTTCATATATCATACCGACTGGCAGTTATTGCTGTACCAATCTCTATGTGCCAGCTTTCGCAGAAACTATTCAGAATATGCAAACTAGAAGTAAATGGGTTGTTTACTCAATATCACATTACTCAATATCACATTCTGGGTGGTATTACTTTGAAAATACATTCTTTCCATCTCGATACTCTCGGTGTCTCGTCACACGGACAAGGCCATCTTTATGCTATAACCAAGAACATAATTGTTCAGAAAAGATTCATTGTAAGCTTTTATTCCTGTGATGTAGCGTAGAAGAAAGCCGAAGCATTGGGCACCTTGTTTACAACCAGTGGCGTTGTAGATATCATCGCGCCGTACATGCGGGTACTTTATGTAGTACACCCAAGAAACGTGGTATGGTTGGATGATCTCTAATAGCGATGCAGACAAGAAGTCTTCTGTCTCGGCTGCATTAACCATTATGGTAAAGGGATGGTGCACACGTCCCCCGTCATCTATCTATCTATCTATCTGTCTCAGCTGTTGGTGAATGGTGGCCGTTGAAATCCCATGCGTAGTTCTGTATGGCCTTCATGAAAATTAGATTACAAATTGCCATATCAGTTACTGGATATCGACCAGCACGAGCAGCAATTGCGCCGCACAATAATCCGCAGTATCGGTAGACTACAATTCTCCATGTGATCAAATTGTGAGATGTGCTATTATCAGTTCTTTCTTAAACACCGCCTTCAACAGCAAAATCAGGAAGAAAAAGTAATTACTGCATGAAAAATTGACATTTTAGTCTGCCTTTGTATTATGTTTAAAACTGTCATTACACATACGTAGAAGTTTCTAATTTTCATGGAAATTTCAGGTTTGCTGTGCGCATTTTATATGGTGTAGCAATCTTAATGGTCAGCAATATATGTGTGTACATACATAGGTATGCACATTAAAGAGAGGAAGATAGAACGACTAAATGTGAAACTGTGATGATACTATGTATTGATGAACACTGGAAGTTTTAATTAAAATGCACAGTATATCATGTAAAACTATGAAAATTACTTCTAGGTGTGAAAGAAGTCACTTTTTTCAAAGTTAAAAACAAGAAATGTTGTCACATGAAAGTGTGTAAAATTAAAATATAACAACAGGAAATACCGTTGCTAAAAAGATACAATGAATTGAAATTATATTGCTAATTTATTTCAACAGAGGATCAGGAATTATAAATGCAGTAATATGTTCTCATTCTACAATCTACGGTAAAAATGTGAAATTACGACTATCAATGAAACAAAATTTGTAATTTTTATTTCATAAATATGATAGCGTACCAATGTAGTTAATTAATATATATTATTACAAAGCATTGGCTTTAAAACTGTGCTTCAGGAAACCTTGGGATTCCATGGAGGGATCTAGGAGTTCCTGAAGTAAAATCACATTTCAAAAATAGTTTTAAATGTCACGTGGATTGCAAGGCTAAACATCCAAAATAATTAATTAAACAATATATTTTATTTGTATTGTTACCTAAAACCATATGAAGTGCATTTGTTTGCATGGGTAAAATTTTAATGAAGCATTTTTTTTTTCATTACAATTTTTTTTTTCAATTTCCATATAAAGTCTTGCAATATTGATATATTTACATCACGGCATTTTATTCACGACATTCGCCTTGTTTCTCGCATGAGTTGGGTAAATTTGGTAAGGTATCAGTTGAAACGAACAGCCACGAATGCATGGATGTCGGAATGAGATGGAGTTTTAAGATTGGAGGCAGGCCAATCACAAGCGCAGGTGGCTGCAGAGCTCAGCGCAGCGCGTAGTGTCGTCTGCAATTTCTAGAAACAGTTTCAGGACACTGGATTCATATCGAAGAGTCTTGGACAAGGTCGACAAAGATCTAAAACGAAGAAGAAAGATTGTTATTTGGCACTCTCAGCGTGACGACACAGGACTGCTACAGCTTCATGGCTCTTATGTGAGCTGTATGCTGTTTCTGGAAGCCGAGGTTCACGGTCTACAGTTTCCCGAAGGCTTCATGAGAAAAATGCCAGAATGAATAAATGCAGTGCTGAAATATAACGATAAATAATGCCATGATGTATGCCAGAATTCCTGCTGTTTGCATTCCGCTCACTGCAACATACAAGAAAGCGCATTTAGCATGGTGCAGACAACATGCGCTTTGGACCAGACCAGTGGAGCACCTCGCGTTTTACACATGAGATAGGATTCAGCCTGGACACTGATTCGTGTCGTATCTGTACCTGGAGATATCCTGGGACACGATTCCATTCCTCCCTCATCAGGGAAAAGGATTATTACGATAGTGGAAGTGTAAGGGCTTGGCAGGCCTAATGCTCTGACTGCTATGAGGTATAGAGAGGAGATCTTAGAGCCCTAGATCTTTTGTGATCTTAGAGTCGATCTCAGATCGACTTTTCAGAGGCGCAGCTGGTCCTCAGTTCTTGTTAATGCGCGACAACGCTCATCTACATAGGGCTCAGCTCGTCGACGATTACATGGAAATAGGATTACATAGAAATTACGATTACATTGAAGATATGTGCCGCGTGTATAGTCCAGCTAGATCTGTTTATCTTAACCCTATACAGCATGTCTGGGACGCTCTTGGGAGGATAATTTAAATTCACCGTCCCATTCCGAGAACCATCCGGGAGTTGAAACCTTCCTTGCTGCAGGAGGGGGATCGACTGCCATAGGGACGCTTCAACTGCTTTCTGTCTAATTTGCCGTCATGCTGCGCTACCTGTCTGGCTGTGAGAGGGGAACATACCCCAGCTTGGGCTTTGGAGATCCCTGCACAATGAGCTTTACTGCTAATCATGCGTACATAAACTGGCTTTTTAACGTCACATCTCTTTCTCTATTATATCCATACTAAATTTGATTAAAATCTGTCGATTGATTTTCCAGAAATTCGACATAATATGCAAATTACCTTAATTTTGTACACGAGTGTATATATACTGCCACTATATATACATTTTACACAGTTTCTCATTAGACTTTTACACAGTTTTGTCATTAGTTGATTTAAAGTTATGAAACAAAATATTTAACTTTCAGTTATTCAGTTAAATACACTGATCTTAATTTTAAGCACTTCTTTGACTTTATTGGCAGCAATAAGCAAAATGTTTATTAATAAAGAAGCTTTTTTAATGTTTCGAAATCGGTAATATTTTTCCTCACCTTTGAAACTCAAAGTATTTTAAATTATTGTTAATATTTGTTGCATTTCCATTAATAGACTAAACCTATCTCAGGAGAAATACAGTCGTCGGCTATACACCCCCTATTATTTTCTATTTTTACGTTTTTCAGTAATTATACGGCCTGACTGATCACCTGAGAATACTGATAATATAAAATGGAAAATGATAGCCCTATTAAAAGGAATTACCCAGTTGTATAATTGCTTAAATATTATTAAATGAAACAACGTTTTTATTTATTATTAAATTCGTAATTTCTAGTCTGTTAATTTAGCGAATAAATTAAATAATTAAAACTTATAAACGGTATTGCATGGATAAAGAAATAAAATGAGGTTTATAAAATAAATTAATCAAATTTAATGCAATAAAATTTGTATGGTTCACTCGTAGACAAGAATTATTTACATATTTTCGTTGATAATAGCAAATACGTTTTTAAACTTCCCTATTCAGAAAACCCATTTTGATATATGTTATAAATATAACTGAAGTATCGTATGAGAATAATTTAATTTCATTTTTCTCATTAATTAGTATAAAGTCAAAATAGCTAAGCAAGCTAAGCCATCAATAGAATTTAATATATGCAGAATTCTCGTTTTTCGTATTAGATATTTATAATTTCAAAATACCTTAATTTAATATAAAACCTTATCTTATTCTCTTCCTCTAAAATTTCGTACACTCATATATTTTTGTCAACCTATTACTTACCAAATATTTGTGTTACCATTCAAATTTTCTTTTGTGTCACCCAATCTAAAAGTTAATGTGAAGGGTAATATGTAACAGAAAAATATCATTCATTAGTTTCTTACAATTTCTGCATCTCATTTATGCAAAATTTAGAAGCTATGATGGACGTTTCATTCAAATAAATGAATAATGAAAATGCAAATTGATTTGAAAAATCAAATTCATTTAACTACAAGAAGGAAAGCATGTCATTATGCACTACGTTTCGTGAATTATTGTTTTGAATTACGCACAGCGTAACTGACAGAATTTAAATCACGCAAATGCGCTCATTATTTTCTGGCCGTTAAAAATGACTGTAAAATATTTTAACAAAATATTACTGCATCAAATATAAATGTACAGTTTTTTTACCTTTCACGGATGCTCGCTCATTACGACTCATACCCTCTACTAAGACTACTCCAGTCATGAGCAGATAGAAAAGAATCCACATTATAAACGCGCTAGGAAGAATGACTCCGTGAATCTCCGAAGTCCTCCCAAGCCTTGTCTGCAGGAAGCTCAAGAGAGTGAGAGAGAGTCTGAGAGAAGAGAATGAGGGAATACGCATGCGTAGTACTAGCCTCACGATTTATTTATTAGAACAGAGAAATCCACGCAACTACTCGGGCGACATTTCCCTGGACGCCAGGTTTTCTCTCGTTTCTCTCAAAAGCACCGATGGAGAAAGGCAATATAAAAAATACAGTATAGTTTTGTAGCTTTGCTCTTGCCCTTCTGCTGTTATTGAATTTCAGGAACATGAACTAGAGAGTTCCATTTACTGATGGCATTCTTGGCCATAGTATAAAGTATTTATACTTCCATATAAGTCACAGGCAATACCATAAACTTTATTTATTCTCGCTGAAAATCAATAATACATAAATACTAAATCAGTAAACGCATTATTTTAGGATTTCAGTAACAGAATGATAGAATTCATCTTTTTAACCCAGCGGCTTTCTTTGCTTCGAAAAACAAATTCGAATTCAGACATGAAACGAATACCCGTGCGGCGAGAAAAAATATATTTTTTTAAAAACGTAGCTGAATTTTTAATCTTTAATCTTACAATTGAATCTTATAACAACTATATAACTTTCAAGATTTTGTTATACTTAGCTCTCGTGCATATTAGTTGCATTATTACTCAGCATATGATGCAAAATTTGCTTAAGTGTTTTTTTCTATTTTCTTTAATGTAAATAAAATATTACTGCAGTAATTATGCACCACATTCCAAATAATAATTTCTCTAATAAAAGCAGTTTATCATGAAGTTTTAAAAGTCATGTAAACTTCATAATCTATAAGCACCATTATATACAAAAAAGTGCTGAAATCCACTTTTATTGCCTTATTTAAAATGATTCACAAATAATACCGCTCTGGCAAGAGTAACATAATATTTTAATGTAAATTACCGAAAGAAGAAATTCAAAACTTGTAGACATTAGGTTAACTGGAAGCAGAAAAGATGAAAAATATGCAACCGCCTTCGCCGGGAATCAAACCACGTACCTCTGGAACACCGGCCCAGCGTGCTACCGTTACACCACGAAGGCACGCTAGGAAAGTGGGAAAAATACCGTATATACCCGCGTATAAGTCGAGATATTTTGGACAAAAAAAAAGACTTCAAAGTGGGGGGGTCGACTTATACGCGGGGCCATAAAAATTAAAAGAATCGGAAGTTCAAAATTTCTTTATATAATGCAGTTTTTCTTCCCGCACTCAAATTGGACGACTTATCAAATAAGTCACTTACTTGAAGTAATTTCATGACTTAAATTATGTGACGAACTAATCACAGAGTTTCATACTTTAACTAGAGTAAATTTCCATTAAGCCAAAGATTTTGGATATGTTGGCGACGCTTTTGCCTGCTGGATTAAAAATGTGTGGGATAAAAGACCGGGAGTAGCTTTCAAAAAACCTTCTCTTTTAGTATACGATTCTTTTCGTGGACACTTTTCTGAAGAAGTGACAAAAGTGACAAAACACTAAAAACGACTGTGGCCGTAATTCGGGAGGATGACATCCGTCATTCAACCCCTAGATGTCTGCCTCAATAAGCCCTTCAAAGTAAATGTTAGAAAATATTGGGCAGAGTGGATTAGTTCCGGTCGACCAACATTTACAAACGGAGGCAACATTAAAAAGCCCGATATTACATTAATTGCTCAATTAATTGCTTGGAACGAAATACCCTCTGAAATGATTATAAAATCATTTAAAAAATGTTGTATTAACAACGAACTAGACGGCATGGTAGATGATGCTGTTTTTGAAAATGAAAATGACGACGAAGGCTCTAGTATGATTGTAAACAATACAGAGTTCGAGACTGAAAAATGTATGATGACGAGCCAATGACGACAGAAGAGTTCATGAAATGTTTGGCGAATCTGACCATGAATCGACGATGAAGGATTTGATTATGTTTATTACCAAGGTATTTTTTATCGTATATTTACTTTTTTTTCTCAGATAATTTTGAATAAATGTAGTACTTAAAAAATTTTCCGAAGTTTCTCGATCGATTTCGGAAGTGGGGGGTCGACTTATACGCGGGTTTCTTATTTTCTACTAATTTTTTATGTCGAAGTGAGGGGTCGACTTATACGCGGGTATATACGGTACCTTATATACGCCCCTTTTTAAAGGGCGACTAGGGTTTTAGGGAACCTAGTGGCCAAATCCTGGGTGCGGAGAATCATAATCCACAACCCTTTTAGTTCGGGCGCCACATGTAGAGTCATTAGGTTAATTGGAAGCAGAAAAGATGAAAAATATGCAACCGCCTTCGCCGGACCTCTGGAATACCGACCCAGCGTGCAACCGTTACACCACGAAGGCACGCTAGGGAATTGGGAGAAATACCTTAAAAACTAACACAATTTTCAAAATGACATAAATGATGTCAAGAATAATGCACTAAACAGCCTTATTAATTAAGACACAATAACACGCCGAATAAATACTAATTCAGAAGTCAAACAACAAAAATCAGCGTTATACCTACAAAATTTTCACAGGACTAGTTTCGATGGTTTTACCGAACCATCATCTTCAAGCTGCAAAACCGCAAATGAACAAGATAGGAAATAATGATTAGATAAGATAAGAAAGCCTGGACAAGAATAAGCAAGTGGCGCCCATCTGTTGGCGAAACCAGAACTAAAACATAATTTCTCTAAAAGCCGAAGGCAAATTTGGATTGGAATTAGGATCGTTAACTAGAACAGAAAGATTTTTATGAATGTGAAATGCCTCTAGAAAATCCAGTTTCTCCAATGGAAGATGTTTTTTGAATAAATTTTGGCAGCAGAAAAATTGAAAGTGTGATTTTCGGACCAACAATGTTGAGCAACAGAAGACTTCTGTGTTTCCTTTTTTCTAACATATGCCTCATGTTCTTGACGCGAAAATTTTAAGGCTCTCTTAGTTTGGCCAATGTAAATTAAACCACACTGGCAAGGAATCCTATAAATACCCCAGGAATTCATATCCGGAATGGGGTCCTTGAGTATAGAAGTTGGAATTTTATTGATGGGAGAATAAACAACCCGAAAGTTAAATTCTGCAAAATATGTGCAACTTTATAGATAATTGATGGAAAGAAGGGAATGACAACAGAATTTTTATAATCTCCTAAAATAAGAGTGTGGCTTTTAGTGTGTTGAATGAGAATTTTTAACTGCTTGATTAATAATGTTGGGTGAAAAGCCCCTGTCAATAGCTATTGCTTTTAAATAATTTAGTTCTTCATCAAGGGCGAATTTGGAGGAGCAAACTTGAAGAGCACGGAAAACATAGGAATAAAATGAAGCTAACTTTTGTTTAGTCGGATGACATGATTTAAAGTGTGGTGGAAGGCAAACCGATGAAGGTTTACGGTAAACTGTAGTACTGAAGTTGGATGTGTTACGTGTGACCAGAATGTCGAGAAACGGAAGAGAATTGCAAGTCTCAAGTTCAAAAGTGAGCTGAATAGCAGGATCAATAGAATTCATTGTTGAAAGAACTTTATTTAAATCATCTTTATTACCTTCAAACAGGGTAAAAGTATCGTCTACGTAGCGGAACCATGCCGGAAAGTTTAAAGTTTCAAACAATTTTGATTCATAATATGCATGTAGATATCAGCCAGGATGGGACTGAGGGGGCTTCCCATGGCTAAACGAGGGATTAGCCATGGGAAGCCCCCTCAGTCCCATCCTGGCTGATATCTACATGCATTATTATGAATCAAAATTGTTTTGAAACTTTAAACTTTCCGGCATGGTTCCGCTACGTAGACGATACTTTTACCCTGTTTGAAGGTAATAAAGATGATTAAATAAAGTTCTTTCAACAATGAATTCTATTGATCCTGCTATTCAGTTCACTTTTGAACTTGAGACTTGCAATTCTCTTCCGTTTCTCGACATTCTGGTCACACGTAACACATCCAACTTCAGTACTACAGTTTACCGTAAAACCTTCATCGGTTTGCCTTCCACCACACTTTAAATCATGTCATCCGACTAAACAAAAGTTAGCTTCATTTTATTCCTATGTTTTCCGTGCTCTTCAAGTTTGCTCCTCCAAATTCGCCCTTGATGAAGAAACTAAATTATTTAAAAGCAATAGCTATTGACAGGGGCTTTTTCACCCAACATTATTAATCAAGCAGTTAAAAAAATTCTCATCTCAACACACTAAAGCCACACTCTTATTTTAGGAGATTATAAAAATTCTGTTGTCATTCCCTTCTTCCATCAATTATCTATAAAGTTGCACATATTTTGCAGAAATTTAACTTTCGGGTGTTTATTCTCCCATCAATAAAATTCCAACTTCTATACTCAAGGACCCCATTCCGGATATGAATTCCTGGGGTATTTATAGGATTCCTTGCCAGTGTGGTTTAATTTACATTGGCCAAACTAAGAGAGCCTTAAAATTTCGCGTCAAAGAACATGAGGCATATGTTAGAAAAAAGGAAACACAGAAGTCTTCTGGTGCTCAACATTGTTGGTCCGAAAATCACACTTTCAATTTTTCTGCTGCCAAAATTATTCAAAAACACATCTTCCATTGGAGAACTGGATTTTTCTAGAGGCATTTCACATTCAAAAAAAAATCTTTCTGTTCTAGTTAACGATCCTAATTCCAATCCAAATTTGCCTTCGGCTTTTAGAGAAATTATGTTTTAGTTCTGGTTTCGCCAACAGATGGCGCCACTTGCTTATTCTTGTCCAGGCTTTCTTATCTATCTTCTAATCATTATTTCCTATCTTGTTCATTTGCGGTTTTGCAGCTGAAGATGATGGTTCGGTAAAACCATCGAAACTAGTCCTGTGAAAATTTTGTAGGTATAACGCTGATTTTTGTTGTTTGACTTCTGAATTAGCCTTATTAATATTACAAAGACTTAACCTAACGTCAGAGGTCGTTAAAAGTCAGAGGGTCTACTCCAAATGTGCAGAGTCGTTTAAAAA